TACCTTCCAGAAGCGCGAGCAGCGCGAATGAATAGGCAAGAGTTTTCCAGCGCGCTGTATTTGTTATTTTTCGTATAACCTGGCAACGCCACGTGCGCGTGTACATACATATCTACGTATTGCGGCATAAATTACGCAGACGTTATGCGCGATTTTACGCCGCCGTGAAACCTGCATATTGCGACTTGTTCGCGGTTCGCGCTCGTATAGTGCCGGAAATGGCAGAAAGAGAGAAAAGGAGAAACACATCGGAGCACGGAGGAAAGAGGAAACGATTTAATTTCTGTTCACTGACAACTTAGCGGCTCGATAAATTTCACAAATTATGAAATTATTTCGATATCTTTATTATCATAAATACACTATTGATGCTATCATTTTAGCGTCCTTTTTCTGTTTCAAAACTAGCGCTTAAAAATTTCAAGTGGTCGAGCAATTTCGGACTTTCGAACTTTTTATTTTTTGTGATCTACGACACGGTGTACGCGCGCTGTTACTAGCTCCTTGTTATCAATCAGGCTCGAACAGACGAGACGCGACAGAAAACGCTCCGTGTTTTTAAATTAATTTTCTCCTCCGTCATTGTCTACTTTCGTTGCGAATGCCGAACAAATCGGTATGACTGTGTCTTTTTGAGTTATATCTTTGTTATGATATAACAAAGTACGGGTCGGAAAAACGCAGTTAATATCGGAAATGTCGTACGAAATCGCGTGATCGTATTTTCATGAGTAAGCGCTATGAAAGAGCAGCTATCGATGGACCGCAAAGAGAAGAAAAACCATGAGCGCATCGAGCATCGGCGAGCTTTATAATAACTTTAAGGTAATTTATTGTTTATTATTGTCGAAATAAATTATTATACTTGAAAAAAAAATCAAAAAGCAGTAAAACTGCCAGGTGTTTTATGTCGTACGCAGTATTATTATGTCAGATATTCGTTTATATATATGCCGGTAATATTTTTAGAACAATCGAGTAGGATTTAATTGGGGATGAAGTGCGTGCGATGTGCGAAGAGTTCCGTTGGATTTATCGTCAACCAAGTTTCTAGACCCTGTATTTATCATAGGGATGCCGCCGCTGCCGCCGCCCACGCGTCAATTGTACCGTGTATCCTCTCTTAGTGAATCTCATTACCTAAACGCGTCGGCCAATGGCGGGCAAGTGTCATATAAATTTGCAACACAATATCACTTTATCATTGCATGACATCCACCCGCGATATGAATTATGGAATGAGGCGCACGTCAGACTTTGTAGTGTGGAAGCCACCGCGCGCCGGTGGCTACAACACATCGGGGCAGAAAGTGATATCAACGAAAACGATGCTCGTTCAGGTGCAGCGACGGCAGCTTGCGGAATTATAATGCGCGCTGCAACGCCCGCACAGCAATCCGTCTCGAAGCGCGTTCCGCTTTGCTTAGTGTATTGAATTACATTGCTAAGGATAACAGAGATGCTAACAGCGTACGAATGTTTACGATACGTAACAACCAATCACGGAATACCGGATGAGCTTTGGAGAGCTGCATTCTCTGAGACAGTAGACGCTCGAAGAAAATTTGTGTAAAATTAGCATCCCATTTTCAGAATTGTAATAGAGCCCAATCTTCTAAGATCTTCTAAGATCAATTTCATTCAAAAATAAATCTAATTTTGTCGAATTTCTCACTTGCCCACAAAAAAATCTAAATTAATTTAAGCTCTTAGTTCTCGAATTCAAGCTAATCGAGACAAAATAATTTTATCAAAATATTAATCTAAATTAATTTATTTATAAGCAGCGTTCTAGTTGTAAATAAAAAACTGTGTTAATGAGCTTTTTTCTTCGGTATCTTGCGTTTCATCTTGGGATGAAAGATGCACTACTCGTCACTTATTCGAGCTCGAGATTGAAGCCAGAAAACCTAGAAAACTTGAGGCCTCCTGCTTCGTAATACAGAAAATGGAAAAGTTCCTCGCGACATAGATTTTTCGTATTTTTGCTCGAAAGAACGAATCTACCGCACATCTAAAATTTATTACTGTCTCGATACATCAAATACTCATCTGATTTCTTCCGGAAACATTTATTTGTACTTCTCAATTACGTTTACGGGAACTGAACAGGATATGACACAACGCGAGTACGTGAAACTTTTATTTTGCGGCATTAACGGCGTTTTTAATTATACGGTCATTAGTGTATCGTTCGATAGCGATACTGTCGGACAAAACACCGAAGTGAGAAAGTTGCTCCGCGGAAGTTGCGTACCCAAGTGACGGAAAAAGTAGTTTAACCCGTTATATCAGCTGACGCTGTGCGCGCCGTTTCGGCCGTCCCGATAAATTACGTCGGGCAGCTTAATTCGCGATATTTATCTTTTTTTTTTGCCCCCGTTCGACGATGTGCGGCGCATCGCCTCGGACGGATGCAGATGAGACTTCGTTAACCGTCGATGGCGTTTTGCAATTGTGATCACCCGAGAAGGGTAAACGATTTTATTACTCGCAGTTCGTGCCGCGTAATAATAAAAAGCAGTATTATTTTGCAATTCACCGCGCTCGTCGAGTTAATTAATGTATCGTCCTGTTCCCCGCAGAGAGTCGCCATTCTCCTCTCTCTCTCTC